TTTTATATCCTTGGCTAAATAAATGGGAATCTTACAGAGGGAGTAAGTGTTTGGGCTTTCTCCCTATCAATCCATAATCAACCTAAAACATGCCTATCCTTTCATAATTAATGAATTCATATAAAAGTATACTGATTTCTTAATTATTCTTGTCATTAAGTCTTTTCTCGATAATAGATACTGAAAGTATAATATAGCATACAATGTTCTCTCATGGTAAGAACTACTATTCTAAGGTTTAGAATTTAGGGGCATTGATCAACCATTTTGCACACTGTCGGGGCCTATGGATGATTTTGTATACTTAGAGGTTTTATTCTTGTTAGTGATGAGAGGCAGCCCCACCCATTATCACCCCAAGATTAGTTACAGAAGTGCAGATTAACCAGAGGAGCTGTCTTGCTCTGAGCCCTTCACCACATCCTGTGCACTGTAGTGTCCTCTCCTGTCCTGAACCCCTGCACAGCGATGACACAGAAGGGGCTGTAATACAGCTGGCCTGGGGAGCTGGTCTGAAGACACAAAGACTGGAAAAAGAAGCCAGCACGTGCGAAGAGTGTCAGACTAGAACATGAAGGACGGCAGAATGACACAATCTGGACAACCTTCAGAGTGGGAGGTACCAACTCAGAACCCACCTTACCCACTGCTTTCCATTATGCACACAAACATCACTGCCCCAAAATAAGGTGCATGTGTAAAACGTCTAAAACACACTTCACATAAAAGATACGCAATGAACACTAGTTTTCTTTCCTCCCCACTAATGCTATTCCTAGTTAGATAATTATTTCAACAAATTTATACCAAGCAGCTCCTATGGATGGCCAAGTGCTAGTTGCTAAAAACAGAAAGACAAAAAAAATACAAATAAACAAAACAAACAAAACAAAAACTCCCTGTCCTTAAGAAGTCTATGATCTAGTTAAAATATTAAGGAAAAAATACACAAAATACAAAAATAAATTGATCAACACTTGTTTTCTCTACAAAAGTTCTTCCTCTTTTTTGAATAAGTGTCTGTCTCCAGGTTAACATCTATGACTTCTAAATTTTCTAAAACTATGAAGGAAGCTAATTCCTCAAATGTCATATTTTTCTAGAGGAGAGGGTATTAAGAATGAACAGAATGTACCTCATATAAGATATTGTATAAAGAGGTCATGTCCATTGCAATGAATTGATGTAGAAACTACTGCAAGTGATTCTGGTGTCCCTACACGGAATATATGGACTATTCTAATCTAATACAAAGGTTTACTAAGTAACTTGCTTAGAAAACAATCTGCACATGCCATCTGTCTCAGCTATGTTGTCCTCTGTTATTCAAGTATCCTTTCCACTGGGCACCTGTCTAGTTTCACTCAGATATCAGGAGATGGTCTCTGTGGTGGCTATATTTTGCCAGAAGTATATAGTTTACATGCAGCTGATTGTTTGCTTTAAAGAAGGAATATTTTCTTGGTCATAAAATGTTAACAAAAAAACAAATAAAGAAAGAAGGAATATGTTTTCAAGACTTCCAATTTCAAAACTATTTTACTATTTATTGTGTTCTTTGCCTTTTCCTTATAAACATCTGTGAAACATTCAAATAAATGGGTTACGAATATATCCAAATGGAACCTTCAGAAGCAGAACCGGAAAACAGGTCACATTGGATCACGGCAAGGGTGACAAATCATAGAGCATGACTATACACACAAATACGTGTGTACATACTCATGTGCACATGTGAATATGACCTTACATTTGAAAGACAGCAGGTGACACTCAAAAAATGTGTTTGACAAAAACATTTGCAAAAACATACTAAAATTTAGGTTAAAATAACAGGGATCAGCTGTGTACTTAATCTGTTACATACTCCTTTCCATATTTTAAGAATTTTAAAGTTGCCTATTTTTTTTTTTCAAAATCTGACCTTTCTAATTGCAAAGTATGCTAACTGCTTGATGGGATAGTCAATTGTAGAAAATCAGATGAGGCCAGGGATGGTGGCCCTTGCTTGCCTGTAATCCTAGCACTCTGGAAGGCTAAGGCAGGAGGATCGCGTGAGCTCAGGAGTTTGAGACCAGCCTGAGCAAGAGGGAAACCCCATCTCTACTAAAAATAGGAAAATTAGCCAGGAATGAGGCAGGAGCATTGCTTGAGTGCAGGAGCTTGAAGTTGCAGTGAGCTAGGCTGATGCCACAGCACTCTACCCAGGGCAACAGAGTGTCACACACACACAAAAAAATCAGATGAATGTTTATACAATGATCCAGGACAATTTTACACCCAAAGCTCAAAAACATTGAATAAACTGGTATACTTAAAATAATTTATGATACTAAAGTGAGTAAAAATGGAGATCCTATTGAAGCAACAGTAGGCTTATTCACCCAAATTGTACAGGCATCCTCCACTATCCTATAAAACAACTAGGTCAGGTTGCCAAGTTACCCTGAAATTTATTTCATAGTTTTCACTGCTATGGTACAGCAAGTGCTCATTACTCTCAAATAATCAAGGCATGGTTGAGAATGCAGACAAATTATAGTTTCTGCTTTAAGTAGCATATCTTCTAGCATTCACAGTTTACACATCTGTGAATATTTGAGTGAATTTCAACTTTTCTATGCTTGAAAAGGAAAGAACATTTCATGCAATAGGGACCAGCACAATGCTCTTAACCAAAGTTGCCAGATTCTATAAATTCCTTCTGGGTAGTTGCCAAAAGTTTTGGGGAGGAATCCATACTTGGAATCTAACTGAAGAATAGATAAGTAATAGCTACCAGAAATATATTTCAGAAATAATACAGGCTCACAGTGCCTCTGCTTAAAGAACTTAGCAAAGGCAATTTGTGAACAGTGCAATTTTCCCTTCATAAGGAAAAGCTGCCACATGTAATGTTGTAAATTATATGATGATTTCCGCACTCTTTACAGAGTGTACCAAGCTTAAAGTGGATCCGTAGGGGATAGTAGTTTCTAAATCACCTCAAAGTCAAATATTTTCTTTTTCATCATCATTTATGAAACACATTAGTAACCTAAACCTGACTGAACCACACATCAGAGTTAAGAGGAATGAGGTCCTGATTAAACACCTGGATCACTTTAATAGCAACTTCAATATAATCATCAGTAACCACAGAGCTTTGGAATATTAAAATGGTAATGTATGGTCCCAAGCAAAGCTTTAGATGAACACCTCTAGACCCATTTGAGGTTTGGGGTTTGGAATTCAACAAATAATAGAGTGGGAGCTGAGCAAGCACTTATATTCCAGCACCTGCCGCTCATTAACTCCATCTATCAGGGGAGGAAACCAAACCTCTCTGATGTTAGGCTTCTTATCCTTGAAACAGGAAAAATACTACTCATATGGCCCAGTTCACACAAGATAAGAAATAGTAGGAATGGAACTTTCATTTTTTGAGTGCTTACTCTGTGCCATGAACTGAAAACAACATGGTGAGGTGGGATCCTATTTTTTTATAGACGAGCACGCTGAGTCTCAGAGATAAAAACGTGCTCAAGGTCACACAATCTGTCACTGGAAGAATCTAAGTGGGAACACAAACTACTCTGACTTGAGAGGTCATGACCTTGCTCACATTTCAAATCACATTCACATGGATCATCTAAGGAGATGATTGACCACACACTGTAAATGGCAGAGCACCACAGTAACGTAGTGTGTTATTACTATAATTTTTTAAAAGTTGTTAAAATGTATTTTCTACTAAATACATCATACTCTTAGCAACAGCATGTCAACTCAAGAAACTAAGGAAAAGGCATGAATGAAGATGCAACTTGAGACCTAAAACAAAGGAAAAATATGGAAAATAAAATAGATGTGACAGTTGGTGACATCATTTTGTACATTTGTGCATTCACACACATCTGCACATAGTCCCAACCCACAAATGTCAAATATCTCTCAAGATGCCAATGGAAATTGCTGAAACCATTACAAAGAGCTGGGAGATTTGTTGTGTATGGCTCCACGAGCCAATACTGACAACTTGGCAGGCTGCTCACAAGAGGTTATGAGAGACACAGGACAAGCATGTTAGGCTGCTAATAGCCTGTGGCCAAGTCTCCCAGGGATAACAAAGAATAGCAAGTTAGCAAAGCTGAGCATCTATAGAATGCCTTAACCTTTTATTTGGTAGCCAAAAACAATTATGGTGAACTGGAAAGCTAACAAAGACATAGCGACTATCTCTACATAATTTTTCTAAGCATTTAAAACAGAGAAAAAATTTCATTCACCAGGGACAAGTAAACTGAATTATGGTTAAATTCACATGTTATTTGGTTATAAACACTCTTTTCCCAGAAATAAATTCAGTCCTGAGTATAATGGAAAAGGAAAAAAAAATTGATCTCTATACTTCTCTTCTACATTTCTATGTTTTTATGAGATTGTCAACACTCCTTCCAAGGACTCCATGCTGCCTTCACCTATCTCATCCCAAGCAGCAAGGCCCCCAAAGTTCCTGGCTATCCTTTCTTTCCCTCTCCTATGTTGCTGCTCTTTGTTTCTTCTGTTAAGAGAGGAGATGAATAAAACCCCAAAGCTACAGTGTACTGTTGCGTAGATTGTTTACTGCATAATCTTAGGTGGTATTTCTCACACTGTTTCCCTCTCAGAAATGATTTCATTCTCACCTGGTTATGTATAGAGCACAATCTGTACAACTGTACTCAGCAGCCCTGGATACAGATCCAAAACAAGAACAGGCATAAAGAGTTTTATCCATTCATCTCCTCATTCACTCATTCAAGTCAATAAATATTTGTTGTGTCTAGTGTGCACCAGACATTCAGAGGCCTGGGCAAACACCAGTAAATAATAATGTACAATCCCTGCCCTCAAGGAACTCTTAGTCTAGACATGTCAACAATGGATAACAGTACAAAGTAAAGCATGCTAGGCCTGGAGGTGTACAGGGGAGAAAACAGATGCAGTCTCAACACTGGGGAAGGGAGAGCACGCCTTACCACATTTGGGTTGAGCTTATGTCGAAAGCACGTGATGTTCACCACGTACGGCCAATCGTCGGGCTCCATGAGCACTCCAGCGGCATGGGCACACGTAACATGGAAGGAGGCCGGGCAGCGCCCATAGGAACACTGGATGCAGGCTCCAGAGACCTTCTTAACCCGGTGTCTGCAGAAGATGCATTTCTGGGAGGTTAAAAAGGAGAAGAACATGAACTCAAACTCTGTAAGCCCAGCCAATTCCCATAATTCACAGAATAATAGCCATTAGAGAAGAAAAAATCTGATTACATCAACAAGTCCTGACCTTTCAGGGGCCCAAGCGGCGAGAGCATCTGTGGCAATATAATCTGCTTACTTTAAAGGAAACACACTTCTATGGTCACACACTACCAAACATATGTTGAAACACTTCTCGTAGTTAGGAAAGCCAAACTCTTTTGCACATGCTCCGCCAGGTACAGAGCTCAGGAAAAGGCCCCAAGGGTGCTCTTGTAAATCATCCATGAACGCAAAAGCTACTTCTGTTTTACCTCCTACATAGCATGTCTTTATGTACGCTAAGAGGTGGAATATGGTTTGTGGCATAGACATGCACATTCCTACATCAGACGAGGTCTTCAGAAACACCCAAACAGCATACAGATGGGCTAAGTTTTCCATTGACAAGGATAAATAAAGTGTTAAATGGTCCAATGTAGGAACTAGGGGCTCAAGTGTTTAATAATCCAAATCTGAACCCTTCATGACTGACAAAAAATATGCCTTCGAACGTGAGAAAATTGAAAATCACCCTAAAGGGCATAATTTTGTTGAATGTCTATAGTTGATGATGCCTGGTGAAGAGAAAATGAAAATAAAAACAGCAATAATGATTATCACAATTAGAAAATTAAATTGCACACAATTAGCCCTAAACATTATCAGTGCATTTGTTATGAGAGATAGGGAAAATCAAACAGCGTCACTAAATATAAGATTTGTGCACTAATGCTTTAGGTTTAGGAAAATATGGTTGTAGAACAACATAGGGTCAGGACTAGAAAGCAGATGAAACTGATCAAAAAGTTCAATTTTTCATTGCTAAGGGTAAAAAAGGTCTACAATCTGATTAAATGCTGGTACAACTGCTTTTCTTTTGTAGGTACATTTTCCTTCCTGGGACAAAAAAAGGTACTTAAACTCAACGCCTTTTCGGAATTGTAATATTTTATCACAGACCTGTACACTTAACTTGTAACTCTTCTTTGTCCTCACATCCGGTCAGCAACGGGATTAGTTTCTGTCCTTTAATAGATTCTGTCCTTTAATCTTACTCTGATCTCTCCCTCCCCATTGTTACCAACTGCCACTGCCTCCGCTCATGGTGTCTTGCCCAGTATAGTAATGGCCTCCTAACTTGTATCTCCATATTTTATTTTATTCCATTTAAATTCATCTTCCCTTGGGCTGCCAGAGTGATCTCTTTACAACATAAATCCCATGTCACCACCACCTGGCTTAATATCCTTCACATATTAATGGCTTCTCTTTATCTCCAAGTCATTCAAAACAAAGAAACAGCATGAGATGGAAGAGCAAAGATTCATGTTCTACTTGAGCAGTGTTATTTCTCACCAGTCCCTATAAGGGCCCTACACTCCAGGCACTTATTGACTTCCCTATACATCCATATTCAGTGTATAATTAAGCATTTTTAAATGAAAGTTGAGGATGTGGCTTAGCTGAATTCAAAAATTACACATACATAAACAGAGAGAAAAACATATATACACACAGGTGCATGGGAAGTGTGTGCATGGGGGGAGAGAGAACTAAAACAAGACCCATCATAAGATGCATAAAAGCATTATTAATATCTTAACACCTATCTCTTTGGCAATCTTAGAGGTCAGTGAATAAGTTTATTAGCGACTGACAGGTGTATGAAAAGTGGAATTGTTCCTTATTTTCCTAATTAGAGAGGATCTTTTAAGAGTAGGACACAGTGTTGAGATTTAGCTAATTAAAGAATTGGTACCTCCCAGCCTCTGCCATCATTAGCTTCCTCATTACACGGAGGCCGTCCAAAACGGGGGAAGGGGATAGAGACAATATACTTAAGCCCCAAGAAGATTCAAGCCTTGGTATCTAAGGAGGGATATGGCCTCTATCAGGAGTAACAGAAGTAATAATTTCTAAAGCTAGAACCACAATGTTCTTAGAGTAAACCTAACTGTAGAATATCGTATTTCAATGCTTTGGAAGATATTTATTCTTAGAATTGAAGAGTTTGACTTAAACACCACACAGGTTCTTCAAGAGACAGTGAACCTCACAGAACCTACCAGGGGAGTCATTCTGAATGTATCTTATAGTACAGTCTGTGTAGTATTTCTGGCATCCATTTTCATTTGCTAGCAGCTAAACCGGTTTTTCTCCACAGTGGCTGAAACACCTGTGGCAAGTGGACACCTACACATGTCAGGGCTACAGAACCGAATCCAGTAGGTGAAACATATCTAAAACAAGTAAGACACTGCTGAAGAATGTTATCATGGAATAAGTGCTATCAAAGGAGTAGGGACAAAATGCTATATGGAACTAGAATGGCTGCTGCAATGAGTCATGCTTGGGGACAACAGAAAGAAGGCGGCTTTAAGAAAAGCAAAGACTGATTGGACCAATATGGTGCACTCAGCCCCTTCCTACCACTTATCTGGCTGCAAACCTTAAATAAATATACAGGAAAAAGAATGAAACCATAATAGCACTGACAACCAAGAAAGACTGCCATCAGAGGACCACAAAATGTGTCACATTGCTAGACCCTGAGAAACAGACAGAATGAGATCAACAGAGAAACCGAAGTAGATGAGCACTAAGCCAAAATAAGAACAGGCAAAGGATACCAAAGGAGTAAGCACAGGTCTCACCCCATAAGTCTCAAAGCTACCACAAAGCAAGAATGCACAATTAAAAGAAGAGGAGACCCTGGGTCGACATGAGGTAATTACTTCATTTTGAAACAGTGCCACTCAGAGTGTTTTTAACATGATGTTTCTGAAGATTCTTATACATACTTAGATTTATTTGGTGAGTACTGTTGTAGGACAGCTGATTAGTTAAAGTTATCCCTAACCCTGGCCTATAGAGACACTGATAATTTTGCCTTCAGAATGAAATCTTGAGACTTGCTAGAAAAAAAAAGTGAAGAATACCAGCCAGGCAGAGCTTCTTCCTCATATGAGAGTTAAGGCTAGAGAAGGAAGTAGAAAAAATCCTAAGTTAACTCCCAACCTCCTCAAGATAAATGGAGTTTTTGCATTAAAATATATAATAAATTTAAAAAATAAAATTTAAAAGTGTGTGTTTGGTGGGGAAGTAAATGAAGGAAGAGGATTAGAGAGCATTAGACTCCAGGGAGCTGACTGCCCAGCAAAAAGCTATCAGTAGGTATCTCTGAGGGGACGGTTCTGGCAAGGCCAGTGCTGAGAAAGGAGTGGCTCTGGCCTGTTCCCAGGGTGTCAGTATGTCCGGGGTGAGGCCGGCGAATCTGCATTTCTACCACGTTCCCAGTGATGCTCATGCTGTTGGTCCACGGCTCCCACTTTGAGAACCACTAGGTTAGAGGGTTAAAAAGGTAAAATATGTCACTTATTCTAAGAGCCTCCGGTACAAGGGAATTCAGGAAGTACATGGGGTTTTTTTTTCACCTATTCTTTAGTGTCAAGGGCTGAGAGAATCCTCAGGCAGACATGATTTATAAAGCACTGTACATTCTTGGGGGACTGGATTTCCATACTTATTCCAGTGGCATAGGCCATTAAGGCTACTAATGGATGGAGGAAGTAATGAAGTATCTGGCAATGAGGCTTTGTGTATCATTAGATTTCCTTGAGCATCCAGCTTGGCAGAGGGCATCAAGAAATGATGAGCTGTGAAGGAGTTGGAGGTTCAAAGCACATCTCCTTCCCTTTATGTTCCTGTTAACATAATTTGTAATACAATTTAGTTGTTGTTTTTGCCAGTTTTATGATTCTTTTTTCTTTCATAAATAGGTAATTCCCAAACAGGCACAAATGCTTTTTATTTTAATTATTGTTTCCCTATCAAACAAGTTACAAGCTAATGATAATGATACAATAACTAATTCCTTTTTCTTTTAGCTCTCCCAAGACACTTTTTTCCAGGCACTACATGGCAAGCTAACATTCGCAACTCAAACACGGAACTATGTTTGGGTTCAATAGGCATCACTATTGTTTTCATGCAGGCAAGTCAGAAGACTGAGGCTTTTCCTTTTCCTCCAAGTCCTTAAACACAGATTTATAGCAGAATCCTTTTGTTTTTAACACTACCTGTAAGATTTATGTTCTGCTCATCAGTATTCATTAAGTCAATCACTCATGTGCCAATACTGACCAGCGCTGAGGGATACTGCTAGAATGAAATCTGAATTCTACAGCAAGGAGTGTACAGTCCACTGGGGCAGACACCTAACAACGTGGCCAGAATGGAAAGCAGAATGTAACAACTGCTACAACTGCCAACTTCCTTTTCAGACAGAAAAGAGACAGGAGTAGATTAATTCCAAGAGATATCAGTTTAGCCAGTGAGATAAAGAGTAGCTGGGGAGGGAAGGAAAACAGGGACACTGAAAAGCAAGGGCCCCCCAATGCACTGATGCTGCAGGGCTTGGGCTGTATTGTGGGAGGCAGCAATTAATATGCAGCCTCACCCCACACATAAAAGAATATGGTAAAACACAATTTGATGTAAACTGCAACAGCTCATAACATGGTAAGTCCTCTGCCCCTACTCCCCCAAAAAAGTTATTTTGTAGGCACTCAGAGTTCACAGCATTAAAATAAATGGCTCATGATGCAAGTGTGTTGAATTAAATCCTTATTTATGATAGGTATCAGAAGCCATGTATCTCATCGCTTTTTGTTTGGTGAGATTCACCCTGCAAAAGGTGAGAAAGCTAAGAAAAAGCCAAGTAGCAGGCTAAAAGGGAAAGGCCACAGGGATGAGCTCAGCTAGGCCAAGAGACAGCACTAGAAAAATGGACAGAGGTGGCTGGGGATCAGATATAAAGCTACATTTATTCAAAACAAGGCTAAAGAGTCATTGTTGGCGCTGAGAAAATATTAAATAAGAATCACAAAAGAATTCTAAAACTAGAAAGGCCATAGCAGTTCAGA